AAGCCTATGTGGGTAAGAAATCAAAATGGAGTTTAAAATGTCTCGAATGCTCGATTAAATGCTAGCATAAAGACTAAGGTTACTATGGTTATATCAATAACGAAATGAAGCCAAAGTTTTTAATAAATAACAACTAACCTTTGTTACTATGGTTTAATGGGTTTTTTAAATTGAGAATATTCTACGACATAAATGGAATATTCACCTAGTATTTTATATTAGGTTCATATCCATGTGAGCTTAATTATCGATCACGGTTCTATCTTCCTTATTAAATTACCTCTTATTAGATGAATATTTCTCCTATCACCTATAAAGTTCTTAATGGATCACCATAGAAGATCTTGTGAGTCTTTGAGAGTAATTACATATAACCTCCTATAATTAATTATGATTAACATAATGATCTTTATACTTTAAAAAATAGTATTGGGATCTCTATACTTACGAAGATGAAAATTTTAACCTTAATTCTTCTTATGTTATTAATTTTTTCGATGAAAAAAATTGCACGTTTTGTCACATGCAAAAAATACATAATAAGAAGGATAAAAAATAATAATTTTATTTTTTTAATTATTAAATATATATATTATTTATCTTAACCGTTCTTTCTCTTCCTCGTTCGCATGGGCTCTCAACCGCCGTCGTCTCAGCATCGCTCGCCGCCTTCAGCATGCGAATGAAAGTAAAGAAAAATGAGCTGCTTTGTTCTCTATAAACTCCAACATTAACCTCTGCTTCATGCGACCAAGAAAGCAGAGAGTCTTTTCTGGCACGAGGTGGGAAGTGACTTCCTGCAAACCTACCGGTGAAGAATGAAGGCATCTGCTCATGCACTATGCTTGCTTTACTAAAGAGAGAGTTAAGTTATAGATAGAGTGGAATAAAAAAAGGGATATGTTGTTGTTGAAGAAGAAGATTATGTGGATGATGGTTCTGCAATCCACCTAAAGCTCAGCATGGACGCTGAAAAGGTGAAGCTAATTTTGACTTTGAAGGTACCAGCCAAACTTTGCAATTGGAATGCGGGAGCGACGGCGGTCGAGCGAGTCTAATGCGATAGTGGCAAGTAGCGCAGGAGATATGACAGTCCAGGGATGTAGGAGCGAAGGTAATGAGCAGTGTAGGAGACGCGATAGCGAGTGGGGCAGGTGCGACGATAGTTGAGCGATGTAAAGCAACAACGATCAAGTGGATCCATTGCAGCTGCAGTCGAGTGGTATAAGAGCGACAGTGGTCGAGAGCATAGGTCAAGTGGTGGTGGTCGAGAGCACAAGTCAAGCGGTAGCGATCGAGAATGCAGATCGAGCGTGCGAAAGAGGAGAGGAGAAAGAACGATTAAAGTATTTTAAAGAATATATATTTAATAATTAAAAAAAATAAAAATATATTTTTATCCTCTTCATTCGTGTCCTTTTGCGTGTGACACAAATGAGAGGGATAAAATTAACAATATAAGAAGAATTGAGGTTAAATGTTTCACTTTTATAAGTGTAAGAATCCTAATGTTACTTTTTAAGATATAGAGACCAGGATACTAATCATAGTTAACCATAGAGGGTTATCTGCTAGTGACTAGTTTGCTAGTCATATGCTAATCATCTTGTGTCATGAATGATATCATCTTCCTTTGTTAGTTAACTATAGAGAGTTATATGTAATTATCTAAGTCTTTACAATGGCTGCATTGGTCACTAGCAAAATCATCTGTGGGTCATGAATGATATCATCTTCTTTTATTAGTTGAAATCTCCTCCTCATCCTGTGTTGAATCCTAAAATCACATCTCAAATTGCTCAAAAGAAACTTAAAAGAGTGAACATGAACCTGTTAGGAATGATATCCCTGAAGAAATCTAGGTTCAAGATGATGAGACCTCAAAAGGAACAATCTTAAGAGACTTAAAAGTGTGAACATGAACCTGTTGGGAACGGTACCCCTGAAGAAAGCTAAGTTTAAGATGATGGAGACTTAGCAAAATGATACATCAAATTTAGGTTAAACCTAAGTTAATGGTAGACCACAATACGTTATGCAAATAAGCTATGATTGAGATTTATCGAACTCGAAACTGAAGCCTTTTAAGAAGCAAGAAGACAAGAAGAGCATGGAGCTAAGCCCGAACCATAGAATGGATCTTCTCTTGTAACTCCTCTACGTTGTTGCGACCGTCACTACTATGGACTTCGACTTTTATAGCTTAAGATGAGTTAACAAGTATTTTCACACAAAATTGACATGTCTTCCTTAATTTATTTTTATCATAATTATTAAAAATAAAAAATTTATGCTTCATGATCTGATAGGGGAAATAATATTTGTCCTAATCAAGGCTCTAACACATGGCAACCCAATTAACATGAGGAGGATAGGGAACAAATACCAAGTAAATATTTTGCTCATATTGTAGAATATTCTCCCAGTTAAATCTACTATATAAAAAATCCTTTGGAAACAATAATGGAGGTTCATTACTCTTTACTAAAAATTCTTTCTTTCCATTCTATCGTTGACTTAGCATTAGAGGAATCACATTTTAGAAACTTGTCCAACCTCAATCTTTATGTGGGTCAACTGTGGACAAGCGTTCAAGTACCCCTTAGCCACCAAGCATACATTTGACCTCCTTTTCGACCACTTCAAGCTTTTTTCACGTATGGATTTGAATCGAGTCAAGCTGATCCAATCACCATTGACATCATATATATCATTTTGGCACTAAAAAGAGGGCCAATGTCATAAGAACATCATCTTGTTGACCTCCTCAATGGGCGCTCTAGCGAGGGTGCTCTACCCTCAACCCATAGTATGGTGGGAATGACCTAAAGCATCGATTGATCATTCACGGATAAAAGTATCCTAATGCATGATGTGTTTCACAATCATAAATATCGCTAACATATAATACATCCTTCATGGACAAAAGCATCCGAATATCTAATGCATTCTTCACGGACACAATTGTTTCGATGTGTGATGCATTCTATATGTCTTCATAAAGAAAAGCATCCCAATGTATGACACATCTTTTACGATCATAAGTATCTCCAATGTGTGATGCATTCTTCATGAACAAGAGCATCCGAAGAATCTACTGTGTCGTTTATGGACAAAACTATTTCAACATCCGACGTGTCCTTCGCAGACATAAGTATCTTCAATGTATGATGCATCATTCATTCATGGATAAAAACATCTAAAGCATTTGATACATCCTTTTTGAATAAAAGTATCTCACCTTTCGAACATCCTTCGTTGACACAAGTGCTTTTGACACACAATGTGTTCCTTTATAAATAAAAGCATTAATAGCGTCTGAAGTATCAATTATAGACAAATGCATCACAATATCTAATATATCCTTTACAAAATAAGTGTCTTCAACACGCGATGGATCCTAAAAGGATTCAAAATGTTTGATGTGTTCTTTATGGACAAAAGCATCCTAACTTCCAGCACATCATTTATAAAAAGAAGCATCTCTTATGCATGATGTATCCTTTGTCGATAAAAACATCCGAAGCATTTGACCTTTCATTCACAAGCAAAAAGCATCATAATATCCGATATGTCCTTCGCGGATTCAAAGTGTTTTAAATACCAAATCCATGGATTGGCACAGCAAGTAAGTTGCCTAATGTTGGTAGATTGGCTCCTATAGCTGATCGGCCCAACAAAAGAAGTTGCCCAATGTGGGCAGATCAAGAGCCCCTATAGCCTAATCCTGCAGCTTCAGGCCACCTTACCCACCGGAGGTGAGTCCCTTAGCTCCATTGCAGGGTCGGGCAGAGATAGGTTTCCACCACCTGGTGTAGGTGCCTCGACTCCACTGCAGCAGGTCGGCAATGACGGGCTTCCACCGCTCAATACATGCACAATGGCTCCACTACAGGTTTAGGTGGAGATGGGCTTCCACCATTTGATGTAGGCGCCTCAGCTCTGTTGCAACAAGTCATCGATGTTGTAGATAACCGATTGATGGGCACCTCAACTCGTTCCACCAACTGATGTGGGCCTCGTGCCATCTTCGTTGTAGATCGGGTGACGACGAGCTTCCGCTATCCGATGTGTGTCCCTTTACGGCTCTATTGCATAGTCCAATGATGTCGAAGTCCTACAGTAGAATGGACGAGGGAACTCTGTGCAGTGGTCATCTTCTCCTCTATCGAACTCCTCGAACCTGAGATACAAATCTCTCCGGCCACGAAGATTGGGATTCCGAGATGCATTGGCATATCATGACTGAGGCAATGCGGTTGCGGAGAGTTAGCTCCAGGCATCGCAGGTCGTATGCTTCTCCTGCTGCTTCCGCAAAAGAGGTATCTTTAAGTGGAAGGCAGGTAGACAGTACAGTGCATGCTCTGCTGCATATTGGTGCTGCACAGGGTTCAGCTGCAGACCTACTTCTCATGGATGAGAGACGAATGCTTTAGAACTAACTCATCATGAATGCTTTGTTTGCTTGGGATCGGTGTCCGTGTGGAAGGAGTTATCTCTCGGCCTCGACGATGGAGACCGTAAGCTGGTTTGGGATGCAGAGTGTTTCATGTGGTTTCTGATGTCCTCACTTTTGTCATCGACTACGAAAGTAGACATCGGAGTTCGGAAGGTCAAATAAAGATCATGGAGACAACTCATGCTTCGATCTGTTTGTGAGCGTCAACATCACTGGATTAAATCACTGTCTTAACGATCTTCAAACATTCTGCATTTCAGGATCCCAAGTAGTTCCAACATCGTCTAGTTTGCATCACAATCTGAAACTTAAGATCAAAAGAAAAGAAAGATGTTTCTGCTTTCATTCATAACCTCGAACTGTGAGTTGTTGTTCCTTGCTGGTCTTCTATTTTTTGTTTTGTTCTCGGTGACAGATGAGTTCTTGTTGCTGTATGATAACTTTCTGGGGTCATGTTCGACCTATAACCAGACAAATATCCAGAGAAAACAATTGCCATTCACCTTATTCGGTATCTCGGTTCATCGCAAAACAACAAACATAAGGCTAAAATGATCTCGAGTTGCCATCCAATCAAAATTTGTACAAGAACAATCGATACGTTCAGATAGGCGGTAAAGCTTGATTAAACCTGCCACTCACTACAAGTAGTGAAGGAGAAAGATTCAAATCATATATTTACAAGTTGATTACGGTGACGACGACGTTACTGAAAGCTATATAAGACAGAAAATGAAAGACAGCGACTTATAGAATTAGAAAAACAAGCATACCCAAAGCATGTATTTTTCTTCCTTCTGCCTCCCAAATTAGCCTCGTGAGAACATGAAGTCGGAAGGATTCTTAATCACCATCAGCTTCATTGCTGTAATCCTCCCTGACTTCCCGAGCTCTCAGAAAACTTGAGCTGCAAATTTTCGACGAATAATCTGCATTACTTCGGTATGAAGATGACAGTTGTGCAACTATAACCGAAGAATCTTGATATTTACCTTTTAGGTTCCTGCTAACTATCATCCTTCGGTTTTAAGATCTTTATTAAGACAAACATCTTCTACATCATGAAGTAATGGAGTGAGCCTGCCCCCAGGTTTCATTTTCTTTACCTCTTCAGCAGGGTAGATGAAGATCTTTCTGACCATATTGCAGAATTCCCTGTTCGGTTCACATTTGAATTATTAACCATCCATAGAAATACAAGTCAAAATTAATGCCACAAGATAAAAGGATGCTGAGAAGGTTTCAGAGGAAAGTTACGGCCAAGGGTCATCGCCAACTAGCATCATATCATCCTCGTCATCGGTGAAGACAACTTCCCATTTATTCCGGTCTCGAAGCTCCCCGTGGATCTCAAACATCTCTTCCAGCTCTCTAATCAGCTCATCATATCCTTCTAGAATCGTCAGATCCACTGCCCGACCGACTGCAACACCTTGCATGTGAACCTATTGATTGTTCCAGGAATCAATTTAGCAATCATAAGAGATTGTTTCGATTGAAAGGTAAGAATATCTTTTATTTATGCTGGTCCAGGACAGAGGAGCACATTCACCTTGGTGCGGCTTCTGCTCAAACAGTTCGGTGCACCATGAATCTCCTTAAGACTGTCCTGTGGTGAATGCTTCTGTTCCTTTGAAGCTTTTGAAAGGCCTGATTTCTGGTCAGAGTCTTCCACTGATTCCGACAAGTTAGCAGGATGCTCAATGGGATCGACAACTTTGCTGAAATGTGTGGTCACCATGTTGGTGCTTGCCCGGCTTTTAGGGTGATCAAACAAATCAAACCCAAATAGCCGGTAACTGGTGCTACCACCTCCGGGTTTCTTCAATTCTGCTACAGCACTACCCAACTTTACAGACTGCTCCTTAACCATACAACTAGAATAAGCAGGACAGGAATTGAACTTGGTCGCTTCATTAGTTTCTCGGAAACGATTCAGCAAACCACCCGTCAGCAAAGAACCCGAACTCCTAATCGGAGATTGGGCTTCCTTCAACCAGTCAAACAATCCAGCTTCGTGAGAATTTGAGTGAAATAGGATATTGTTTTCCTTGCATCCTTTCTGCATGGATGGCCAGGTAACTTGAGCTTCAACATTTTCAGCCTCGGTGTTTATTACTGCAGCTAAATCATGTGAATCGGTTGTTCGCGAATACCAGAATGTTGCAGTAGGTTCTGCATGCAGAAAAAATTGGGGAGAATTGTATGATACGAGGAAATATTCAAATAATGTGTTCCTAAATGTACAAAATATGAGATAATCTTTCTTCTCTACCAAGGACTGAGAGGTCAGCTGTGTCACTAGCTTGCCTAGATCTTTTGCACTTGACTACAGCGGGCTGTGGGACATTTGGCACAAGCACCGTGGCATCAAATGGCTCGATTTCCCAAGGAGAAACTCTCTCAGGTCGTTCGATACCGGCTGCTTCATCCCATTGAACCTGAAGCACATGAAAATTATAGAAAAAGGCAAGCATGAAAAGAATTGACGCAGAGAGGAGTGAAAAAAATGTGTATCAACCTTCAACGATCTCCACCTAGAGCCTGTCCATTGCGAAGAACAGTCTTCGATCCCAACAATAGTTCCAGAAAACCTACATGTTGAGAACCGTAATGACAACTAATTACATAAGAAATGTGATTATAAAAACAAAAAATCTCTCCCACACTCCGTAGAAAGGAAAAAAAAAAAAACAAACAAACACTAAAGGCATCAAAATGGCAATGATACAAGATGTCATCTGTGTATGGATAAATCACCTTTTCTCAGGAACATCTTCACCCTCAAATCTCATCTTAAATCTAGTTCCCAGAGCAAATCCATTTTTCACAGCCTCTAAATACTTGTTGACATGAACAATGAATTGACTTGTTCTGATGTACAGGCAACCAAAAGACAATCTTTAGATAGTTACCAGATCTATAAGGTAAGAAAATGGGAAGTACTGTGTTCATCAGAACAAACTAAAAGGGACAGGAAGCATCACACTTTCTCAAATATGGCCAAGGGTTAGGTCCCAAACCTTGGTTTGTAGTAGATGGTAAAGAGTGTATGAGTCGTTACAGCATGTGACGCAGTCGCAAGCACACCTAGATGCATGCTCTGACTCGATATCACCGATGTTGGAATCGTGGCCTGTTGCCGTGCTTGGCGTCTCAATCCAACACGCAAATCGCCACACTCCCCTCTGTTACGCTTGGATGCTCAACATATCATAATTGCAATTGCAAGAACCCAGAAATTGACGGCATGAGCAGTAGTACCTCAGGAAAACAAATGCATCCCCAGCAACCAGTCTCTTGGAGGTGACAAAGGTACTCCATCCGGTAGTGAGCAAGTGCCTCCGAGGTTGACCTGCATCATATCAGCTAAGTCAACAGACAAAGTGGCATTGCCACATAAATTGGACTTGGAATTCAACACCTAAACATCTCTATCACAAACATATCTGAAGATGTTTACCCCTGAAGATGTGCTTGAATCTCCATTCAAAGTTGTGGAGATCCTTGGCGACCAATTCTTGAGTTGGGATCTGCTGTGACAGGTCCTGAGGTAAGAGGGGATTCCCACGATTAATCAGATCATTTTGGAGAAGGAAGGCTAAATGGACGGAGACAAAAGAGAAGAAACCACTAACAAGTGGAGGAAGGCATTCTGTGGCATGTCGCCGGAGTACGGAGAATCCACCATGTGTGCTGGTGTCTGAGGCTGTCAAGATCTTACAGAAAGAGTAGACCGCCGGCCTCGGTTGCTCCGGTAAGCATGGATCAGGGCTCGTAGGCTCATGTTGCTGTCTCGATTCAGACAAAATTAGCCTTTCTAACACTAAAACCTTCAAGGATTTAGTGGAAGTAATTTGACGATCTCTTCATACCGAATTGAGAACCAAAGAAAGCGAAAACCAAGAGTTCATTGAGTTCTTACATCTGGTTCCGGTTGCAGAATAATTTGAGCGAACACTTCATCGGTCTCGGGATCGGCCTAACATGTAGTTGCAATCAAACGAAAGCTTAACATAATTTGAGGTTGCTGAGATGAAAAAAAGGCGAAGCTCTAGGGAAGAAAAGGAGCTCTACTTTGAGATGGACATCGACGACGCGACATAGTATCTTGAAAGGGAGATTGAAGAGGGGTATCTGCTGATCCAACTCCTGGTTCGTCGACGCCTCCAACTATGATCACATCCAAACACCGCACCGTCAACAAAACGCAATCTTTTTGAGAAGAAACGAAGCAAGACAGGATTTTTCTTCCTTTTTCTTTTGCATTTGCTGCATTTTCATGGCGTGTTATGTGTGGATCTTGTCACCTGTTCCATATGGCCCTGGGGGAAGTAGAACACCCTTTCCCTGGGCCTCGGCACTTCAACCAGCGGCCCCGCGCACGCCCTCCATAGCTCCTCGTAGAGCTTATCTCCTCCTTCAAGAGAGAAGCATCAGAACACACTGGTGAGAGAGACCGGAGAGTGGCCCAACGGAACCAACTTTCTCGCTCTCACCTCCTTCCGACCTCCCACCGGCCCAAGCTCCAGCTTCGTACGCCATGGAAACCGCGTCCCTTTCTCTTCCCGTCGTCACCGCCCGGAAGCAGCAGCGGAAGCAGCGCAATATCAACCAGTAGGTGGAATTCCCACTTTCCTCCTTGTCCTCTTCGAGGTGCTATTGCAGGGGGCAACAGCAACAGCAGTTATCTTATTACCCCCATTAAAGCAGCGGCGCAGGAGCGACATCACCACCCCATTCCCCACCTCAGCGCCCTCCGCTATGTAACATTCCTTCTTTTATCTCTCTCTAGAGTCTAGAGCGAAGTGTCACACGAGTTGGGATCCTCTGCGCTCTGCTGTACTGCACGATCCTTCCGAGATCCGAGCAGCTTGTGATGTGAAGTGGCGTGGATCGTGGGAATTTACTGCACACCGCGCGGTACAACAGAGGATCTCAGCTCTCCCAACTGACGCACAGTTGCTTTGCTTTTGCTCTCCGCTTTCTACTGGCCAATGAAGCTTCAAAAAAGCGATCTTTAAAAAGGGGGCAGCCTCTCCTCCTTTCGCCTCTTCGTCTCTCCCACCCACCACTAGGCCAACTATAGACTACACTGCTGCAGTTTGTGGACACAGGACAGAGGAGGGAAAAAAAAGGAGCTAATCATTGCAATGGAACCCCGTGAAACAACTCTTCGTCTCTCCGCCTGCCTTTGCAATAGAGACAGCCGCCTGCGGGTCCCGATTGCTGCCTCCAATAGCATGACGGGTAGGCAAGTGTCGCAGTGGCCGTGAGGGAGGGAGTACAGGATTGGGGTGGAACAGGGGAACGCCGTTCTCTCACGGGGCGTCCGATAACGGCGGGGCCCGTTCCGTGTTGTTACCGCTCCGCACAGTGGCGGACGGCGTCAGGTCGCCTCGCCGTTACGTGACGCCGTCGGTCTGCCCATTCGCAGGCAAGCGGCTCGTGATGGGCGGCCTTTTTGCCAGCTCGTACTGCCCTCGGTTGTTCGAGGTATTACGGTCATGCCACCGTTGCCGCGGGCCCCGCAGAAACACGTGGTGTCATCTCCAGAAAGCTAACGTGGTCCACAGGAACGCGTAGGTGCTGCCACGTGTATCCTTTCTACCCGGCTAAAAGTTACCCGCGGACCTGTCCCGTCCCGCGTTGCTGTGGGGCCCATGGGTGAGCTAAACATGACCTCACCCACGGCCTGAGCCTCGCTAGCATTCCGCACGCATCTGAAAGCAATGAGCCCTAAAACTCGTGCTTTTGTTTGATAATTCACGTGACTCGTATTCTTGGTTATTTTCTCTTTTGTTTTATTTGATTTACTCAAAGGTATATATACAATAACAACATGATATTCGAAAAGAGGATGAGGAGTTCGGGCTTAGATATTAATCAATAAGAAAAAATATATAATTTTATGATAATAAAAAATATATATGACTAAAGGAGTTCACATACATACATACATACATACATACATACATACAGAGTAGAAAAGATAGATAATGGCGACGGTGATTATGGCAACGTTAGAAAATAAGAGATTGATTGACAGGAAGAAGGGTGGAGGCACAACTACTAGCTCGATGGAGAGTTCATGATATTGAGATTCGATGAAACCAATGATATGTATAGGTGGCAATAGTATCGAGATCCAATAGAAAGAAATGATGCAAATGAAATACGAGTAGGGTAGGGCGAATGTGGAGACGATGGATGAGAGATAGTAGTAAAAGTCTTTTAAAAAACTTATCGACCTTGACTTGATGGAGAGAGACACATTAGAACCTAACGTGCCAACAAGTTATCGGAGATGTATCTGAATAAAGTTTAACCAACTTTGCCCAAGATTCTAGGCTTTCCGACTCATGACTACCACCACCACCACCACCATACCATATCCTTCTTTACTTGCATGCTTTGATTCCCAAAGCTTCTTTGCGAGCATTATTATCGTCTTCTGCTCGCACTGCAGTGTGGAATAAATCGTGTGTGTATGTGAGAGAGAAAGAGAGAGAGAGAGAGAGAGAGAGAGAGAGAGAGAGAGAAAAGTGTTGAAAGGAGAGGAGAGGTGCGGCGAAGTGAAATCCTAAGAGACAGACGCGAGAGGTGGGTTGTGTAGACGTTTCCGACTTTGCTGAAGGTACACAGAGGTACCATTGCATGATGATTGGTAATCGCAAGTGAGTTTTACGTCTTTGGCCACCCTGCATGGTTGATGGACATCAAACTTAAGCCTACATAATTGATGATCGGAGCGAAACCAAACCAATCTAACTCTGAAGAACCAAAGTATTAAGTTCGGTCAAATTAGACAATGGTGCAGGAAATATTCCTGTCCGAACTCGAACGTGAAAGTTGTCAGCTACGCAACAATATATTCGACGACCAATGCATTGTTGGAATCGGCATGACAAAGTTTTATGCACCAACTAACGTAATAGAGGAAAATTAGTTCAACAAACAGTTTTCCCTTTTCTTTCTCGTTCCACTATTTTTATTGCCCCTCAAGTTAAATTAGCATATATATTCTCGTAAAATAAAAACAGAACTTCCACATATAAATATACTTTTCAATTTTTCAAAAGAAAATATATTCTATCATCCTAGATTTCGGAGCGAAAACTCAGTCAAATTAGATAAAACTTAGGAATTTATATATGAAAAAACACACATAGAAATGTATTATATTTTTATTTATTTTCAAACAGTAAAAAGTGAAATAGGAAATTTGATACAAGATTTTTACAGATGATTTTACCATCAAAAAAATTTATCAACTAAACTAATCAGAAACATTCGAATACGTAAATGATATATCTGGGAGTTATTCCCAGTGCAGGCATGGCATGCATGATGTGCCCGCCAATTGGCAATCGACAAGACACCTCCAGTGTTGAGTTGGTCCCAGTCAATTTGACCGAGCCAAGACAAGCCAAGACCAATAATTGTGGCCGGTCCCATCTACGCAACTTTGCACTAATGCTCACTCCCTCTCTCTTTCTATATATATATATATATATATAGCTTGTCAAGCTACCAGAAAGCATGTGTTCCATGACCACCTGAGAGACTCAAATTGATGTCCAAGTTGGCATGCATGCATGCTCAATGGCTAAATTAATCCTTCAGACTATACAGTGTCCATATTGTCTAATGCAACATCAACCTTTTGATTCTTTCTCTTTCTAATAAAAAAAAGAAGATAAATTCAGCATAAAAGAAGGACCTCCTCCTTGTTTAAATAGATTATTTTACTGCACTGATTCCCATATTATGAAAAAATACTTCTAATATTTTTAATTTCATTTGATATTGTTAGTCTACTTTGAACCGAAGGAATGATAAGAAAAATTAAAAAGTATAATTTCCTACTCAAATTAATAAATACAACACCATCCCTCGTCCAAAAACCTTAATATGAGCAATCAAACTATATAAAATCATCAAAGTCAATTCTCCAGAGTTTTTAAAATTTTATTATGAATCAAATCAAATTGGACTGACATACCACCACAAGTAAAATTTGAAGTTATCCCTACACTCGACAAACTCGAGACAAACAAGCCACACTCATCATGCTTGGATGGTTGCATCCATCCACCATGACAATAATCATGAGTAGCAGTAGGACTATCTTTTTCTTCTCTTAATCCATGTATGCTTAGGATTGGCATGTATTTTTCTATAGGCTTGGTTGGCTATTAATATCCTAGACAACAATTCTAGAAGCTCACTAGCTGCTACCTTATACTTAGGTACATGTGAAGATAATCCTACTAAGAGAGGAGAGAGAAAGGAGAGGATTAGGAACTAATGTTGACATCAAGAAACACCTAATCTCATTGGTTGTGCATCTAATGGCAATGTCAGGAAATCTAACAGGTATCCAACAACCACTAATTATAGTCTAATCATATCATCCTAATACTAAACAAAATGTGTGTGCAACACTTCACACTTACACTTGTGGGGTAGCCTGGTACACTTCCCTTTTGCTTGTCATGTTTATCATAACAAGTGATATCTTACTAAAGTTAAGTTGCAGAGCTTGTTATCTAGCATATATCACATGCTTTTATCTTTAAGGTTGGATTCCTCGAGAACAATGGACTTTTAGCAATGCTAGACTATCACTCTCTTAGATTTGCAGACAAGCAAAAGTGGATTCCAAGAAAGGATTAGTTTATAATTCATTCCCGACCAATATCTTTGAACATTAGATATGGGATGAAGGCTTCTTATCCAAATAGAATTTTCCTCTCCCGGTGCACTATCTAAATTCCCCAATTTTCAAGGCTCTATGTATGCATGACATCTTTAATTGTTAGTCTTCTAAAGATCACCATTATGTAAGAGTATGAACTACTATAGGCAGTGTATCCTAACAGTCATTGTGGTTAGAGTTGCCCTTCATTCGACTGCAAGTGACAACTCACTTGCTTGGCCTTGGTGGAGTCAGGACACCAATCCTTATTCTGTGTGCTGTATGCCATTTTCTAGTGTCATGAGCTTTTGTGAAGCTCAAAGTACAGATTCCCATCAGTGATTGCTACTCCTGCTATTACATGAACAACAACTTTGAAGTATCTAAAGTTCACACATGATAGAGATGCTCTGATCAAACTTCACATAGTTCTGTGGAGAGGGAGACAGATAAAAATTCAGAATAAAAGGATAAATCTATTTTTGTATTTGCATGTTGTAAAACCCTAATTACTATCCTAACATGGAAATAACAGCTCCTGGGTTGATGTTCTTCACAACACAACATTGTAACTAAAGCTCTTGTGATGTTGTAAACCCTAGTTTATCATTAGTACAGCCAAGATATAGAGGAAACAGCTGCAGTTGATGAATGCTGTAGTCAATAATCAAAACAATAGTTGTTTTGTAAGTTTTAGGTAAAAATGATAGCATTGAGATAGACAAATGTTCACCTTAATTGTCATCAATAGTCACTATTTTATACTATGTTCTTTCATGACCCATTTTAATTGTCAAGAAGTTGGATCTCAAAAAAGAAAAAATGAATGAACTTAAGAGGGTGTAATTGTTCTTGTTAAAATGGATCATAATGGTTTTCCCGGCATCCATTATTCCTAATATAATTGGACATCAAAACCTCTCATAAATTTTGTCTTATTCTTCATATCTATTTGGACTACCAAACCAAGATCTAGTTTTAGGACCAAGCAAGTCAAACCATTAAGACCTAGATTTAGTGCAAGTTAAAGGAAGACAAAGATACTCTTAAAAAAAAAAGGAAGACAAAGATTTAGAGAATGGCTTGGTTGCACATTTTCTTGATAGTTTTTAATTACATTTATATATTACTATATGTAATGTAATATCAAGGAGAATAAAAAATCTTGACATTGATTTATTTAATACTAGAGTAGATAGCATGTTAAGGATGTAAATTTGCAATAGATATCAGTCACGAGAAACAGAAAAGTGGAATTATCGTAAACAATTTTAAATTGATATTAATTATTCACATAATTGATATCTTAAGAAAAAAAATGGAGCATGTGATTAGGTCAACAAAAGGCAAAATAATTCACCTTA